TTCCACCAATTGGGCCTTGCGCATCAATTTCTCCAGCCCAACCAGTTCCCAGCATAACACCTCCGTACTGATCACTGGATCCAGTCCATTTATAAAGGCGTTCTCCAAGATCTCCTCCGTCAGGTGAGGCAGCGGCGCGGCCGTGGTTTCGAAAGCTTCAATGTATTCTTCCACTGTTCCTTCCTGTTTGATTGCCAAGAATTTAGCACAGAGAGATTTATTCTTGGAAGAACCGAACCTGGTAAAAAGTCGCAGCTTCAGGTCTCCCCAGTCACGAAAAGGTGGTCTTCCATCATTCCAACGGTACCAAGCTAATGCCTTCCCAGTGAAACTGATTACCGAAACCGTTGCCTTTTCAGAGTCCGATAAGTGGTGTATGTCAAAATACCTTTCCGCCTGGAACATCCAGTCGTCAAGGTCGACTTCGGAGAAAACCGACATCTCCAACTTTTTGAACTTGCTTCTATCTAAGTTTCCTTCACCGTCACCTTTCCTGTCATCGAACACTTCGGTGTCGTCAACTGCCTTTCGCTTCGCCGCCGTGTTGTTTTCACCGACCGAGATGGTCGGGTGGTTTTCTTCGGTCGGCGTCGTTGTTCCTCAGAGCGTGTTGTTAAGATCTCCACGCTACGCGCAATGTTTGCCAGAGATTCCTCTATGGCCGGAAGACGTGCTAGCTCCTTCCAAAAATCACTCATTTCCACGTCCATTAGTTCCAAACGCTCCTCAATCTGTTTCTGAGCCATTTTCCTTAACCTCCCTAGGATGACTTGCTCTGATACCAATTTGTTAGGAATCTTCCTGACAAAAGTTGATATTCAAAGCAAAGAGAGCCCTAAGGCATACAAAAGTCTTCACAGCCAATTCGAGAGGACTGCACTCTCCCTACCCAGATTCCTTAAACAAACAAAACATACCCTGTCACTACAGCACCCCTCCCCATATAAGTATTAACTAACTTGAGGGGGATGAAATTCCCTCTCTGCCCCTCCTAACATAAGTATTGACTATTAGGGGCCTTACAGTATACCTTTTAAGTATATATCATTTTTATACCGGAAGAAAACTCAAAGTCAACAAAATGAGTTTGTTGCATTTTACTCTCTAAATTTATTATACTTTGTCACATATTGCTATTTATGTCTATTTTTTATGCTTAACAAGTGTTCAATACGTGTCTAACAAGTGTCAAATCCATATTCACTTTATACAACTTGTGTGTGACACACAACTATTGAGCTAACAAATGTGTAGTACGTATCAGAAAGTCGGATGTCTGACACGTTACCCAAAATGAGTGTCCATGCTTTTTAAATTTTAGATAAGAATTCTGGTTGAAAAAATGGAGCAGAAAATTCGAGTCCCCCATCATCTCTCCAAATACATATTGAATTATGTGTTCTTCCTCTGTACCCCACCCTGTTCTCCTTAAGCAGAGATAAGCAGAGATCCTCTTCCTCTTCCTCTCCCCTATCCTCCTAAGTAATCATCCTCTTTTATCACGGCTACATCGCCCCCCCTCCCCCCCAATAACTAGCTCCACAACGGCGTTACAGACAAAATTACCCAAGTTTTATGCATCCCTAGCTATACTCAGCTTCACCATGCCTCTTTCTCACGTAAGTCAAATATACATGGGTCAGGCTCTACACCCGAAGTTTCACCTTATCCTAAAAAGGAAGAGAAACTAATGTTGAACATGGCCAAAAGCCTCCAAGGTTGCTTCATACTTCATAGACAGTGATCCCCTTCAATTTAACAAAACCACAAGTTCATTAAAAAGTAGAATGTCATTACTAGCTGGGTGTTAACCTTTCCTTTTCTTTATGTTGAACCCCTTTTGTTGGGCTGTTATTTTTTGTATGCCCTTGTGTTCTTCTTTCATTCTTTTTTTCTTTTTTCCAATGAAAAGTTCAATTTCCCATAAAAATAATAAATAAAAAGATTAAAACGTGGGAAGGCCAAAACACTGCACAAATTTCAATTCCATCACCAAATCTAGATCCTTTGCAAGTCAGGAAGGATTTCCCAAAACTGAATTAGATTACCAACACCGGTCCATAGATGAGAGCTGAGACATATGAAACATAGACGTATGGATGTAAAGGGAGGTAATTTCAACCAATAAGCCATAAAAAGAAACCTTCATTCCATATAATGGGATATGACTCACAAAAGCTTGGTGCTGATTTCTCAAAGCAGCAGCATGCCAAGGACTGTTGGCAATACGGCCTGAGCTGAAGGAAAAAGGGTTATCCGCTTGAAACTCAAATTTTCTCCTGTGACGATGAACTACAACTCACTTTTTGTTCCCAGCCCAACCAAGCACCTTCAGCATTTGGCAACTCATGGTCTTCAAATTTCCACCTTCTTCAATTTCAATTTGCTTTCATTTCAGCAACTTCTTTCCTTTCCCTTCCCTTCATCAGTATTGCCAACAATTGTCCTCTGATTGGACATGGGTTGATTGCCTTACGTTTGCATAGGCTCCTCTGACGAATTTGGATTACTTATTCCTGTGTTCCCCTTTAATTTCGATTTCAATGCCTCAAATCCCTCCAATATGATTGCTGTAATACCACTCTCCATTCCATCTAGAGTTTTTTTTAACATTCCGAACATCTAACTGCTCTAGCACCATAATTGATAGAATCTAGAGAATAGAACCAGTACTGAATACCTAAAAGAAAACAGTAAAATTTACAAGTAATTCAAAAAATTTGGAGACCTACCTCTTGAATAAACTCAAGCCTAAACAATAAAACAATGGTTTCCTTCATCCCCTCCCACTCACTCTATTCATAACCACCTTTTACTAACGAACTCCTTGGCTATGACTAATACCCTTAATAATATTTCTAACATTTGCCCTAATGATATTCCTAACACCAACCTTCTGAATAGCTTGTTTGGATAAACAATTTTGGATTGCATCCCTAGTATCCTTAATAATATTTCTGACATCACTACAACTGAATTCGTCATCATCTTCCTTGCCCTCTAATAGCTTCCCATAATCATCATCAATGATCAACAATTGCATTTTCATTGTGACACCTACTGCCAATGGTGAACTTCAAACATAACCTTTTTCCCTATGAGCTTGAGGTTCAACGACACCTTTTGACCAATGACCCCATTTTTTTAATCAACATTGGTTCCTCCAGGCCTTAGACCATTAACTCTAGTACTAAAGTAGCATGCCCTTGTTGGCTAGAAGTCACAAAGGACCTTACCAATGTGAGTTTCAATTTGCACTATAATCAATCAAACTATGCACCTGCACCTTGATGTAAGTTTATCCTCAACTCTCCATGACACCTCCATCATTCACCCCAAAATCCAGGAGAATAAGCAACCATACTTCAGCTCCTCTTACTCATTAAGAAATTGCTAGTCAAGCATGTATTTGAATGTCTCACAATGGTCTACGTGTATTGAGAACCTCACTAACTCTGTAGTCACACACACTAATATTTTCACTTGGACTTCCTTTTTCCAGTGCTCGAAATTGTTGGGTATCAAGGAGTCTTAACTTATCTTGACTAATATTCCTTGAAAATTGGCAATTCCAATTTGCTGAGACCAACCTCCTCCAGGCAGATTTACTCTATTTTGGCCCATTTACCGCAGGTTAACCTCCATTAGCTGTAGAACACATGCTCGCATTTTTTGCAGACTCCTTGACTATTTGTTGCGTAAGCAGAATTTTTCCATCATTCCTTCCTTGCAAGTATTTATCCTTCATTATATACACCAATTTCTGCAAACCCTTGTACATCCCTTGTTCTTACTGGGTCTATCATTGGAACATTGACTTGAGTCCCTAGAAATTGATTAATTGAATACATCAAATTGGTTTGATTTGGTTCTTTCTTCAACTACTTTCGTACCAGCATCCATCTTCTTAGTTGTCATCCCCCAGTTATAAACATATGATACCGATTGATAGCCGTAGCCCTTAACTCAATGAATAAGTGGACTAGGGATTTTATTTGGAGGAAAAGAATGAAAGAAATATGGTTTGAAAATGTGAAATAGGAAACTTGAGAGTCCCGTACTTGAATTTCCTGTTTTTCCTCTATCCAACATATTCTCCTGGTACAGAAATCTCCCCTCTCCATTGCCCTTCTAATTAATCCCCTTTTCTCACGAATACTCATCCCCCATTAATAACTCCACGATGCCCATGCAGCAAAGGACAAAATTACCCTTTTAAGCATCCTCTACTCTACTCACCATGCCTCTTACTCACACAAGTAAGGCATGTTGCGGTCTATCACTTTGCTAATAACATTATGGATCCAAACGATAGAAACTTACATTACTGCTCGAAACTTGGGCAGAAAGTTGACAAAAATGAGGTATGTGGGATCGTCTTACGAAGCCAAATTATGTCACTACCCAAAGGGAAAACATTAGGACATTACAATTTCTGGACTCTTCTAGTCATCATTTAAACAACTCATTAAAAAGTTAATTTTTACTTCCATTTATAGATGGGTAATAGAAAAAATGCAAAATGAACGAGTCATCTCAATACTAAAAATGCATGCGACCTCATAACCTGCATTAAAGTTCTTACTTTTTCCTACGTTCCCGTTTCTTTAAACGCCGATTTGATTCTCCCGCTAGTTCCTCAAAACGAAGGTCATTAACCTGCTTTCTCTTTCGTTTTTTGTCTTTCTTCTCACTGGACTTGCTTTGCATGTCATCACCACTATCTGTAAGCTGAGGCATTTCTGAATTCCCACCATTACCTTCGTTTTTTACATCAGTTCTTCCCCGAGCATCCTCCGGGTGGGATTTCTGTAAAGAAAGTGAAAGTGAAACGACAAAGGAGTATCAGAAATTAAGGGCATACAAAGCCGCTGTCATGCTCTTCCAGCAGGCATGAGCATTTCTGCATGCCCATCCACGGGGAGTAAGCTTAATTTCATGACCACGCCTGACAAAGTAACAGAAGGACCCTTTTGCTAAACAAAAGAAACTAATAATGGATACCTTGTACTATAACACAAAACCATCTACGTGGTAAGACATGGGCAACCGAAGAAGACTATGATGAAAATGATGATTAATCTCAACTTTCTTGCAAACAAGCTTATAACAACACATTAATTAGAAATTTCAAATACCAAATGATACATTGTCGATCTTTTGTCACCAACTCCTAATTTCAACTCCACTACTTCAAAAAAAATGCAATCTGAGACAGTGAAAAAAAATCTAACAAACTACCAGTCTACCAATTACCTTTTCAGAACTCACGGCTTCTTTCTTGCGCTTGTCCTGAGTATCCTTCAAGACCTTCTCAGACTCTGTGAGAACCCGGGGGAGAGTATATTACTACATGAAATTGATTAAACTCATCGACGAACAAATAAACGGTAATTGTAAGGAAACATACCTTGATCTCGAGAGGAAGTGAAGGACATTAGCTTGCGGAGTTTGGAAGGTAGAGCATCGAGTTTCGAAGAGTCCGGCGGAGGTGGGAGACGATCGTAAGTTCCATGTGCAGCTCTGTAATTCCGCTCTCTCCGCCGCTGTCCTTTGCCTCCCATCTCTCTCTAATGAAATTTGCAGCCCAACGTCCGAGTTGGGTGCCGGAGTACAGCCTCAAACGCCGCCGCCGATTAAGAACAACGGGAACTCGGCCTCAGACGGTCCTTGCTTTCTTCTTAAGGGCAGAAAACAAAATAGGTTTATGATAATTGATAACAAAATCAATATAAATAAAATAAGGAAATCAGAATATTATTTATTGAAAAAAAATAGCCTGATTAATCAGTATTATTTTTTACCCACCATTTTCAATTTCGTCCATTTATTAGGATCCTCTTAACTTTTTTTTTTCTTTGTTTGCTAAGCGGATGCCAAAAAATGTTTAATTTTATTTCTAAAATTTTAATTTTTGTTCATTTTAGTTCTTGAACTCTCCCCACGTTAGTTTTTGTCCAAATACTTTTAAAATGCAACCAATGTGGTTCTTATTTGCAAAATTTTAACACAAAAATTACACAATGAAAACCATTCAAGAAATTTAATGAGTGAAGTATCGTGTTAAAATTATGATCAAAATAAATGAGATAAAAATAAAAATGAATTGACCAAAATTATCACTTAAAGGACATTGACCAAAATAGACGTTTTGAGAATACATTGACTAAGATGAACAAAAGTGATCAAAAAATTATATATATGTGTGTATAACTTTTCAAACACATGTGCTTGTACTTTCAACCTTTGTTTGTTTTTTTAGTACAACATATGAGGGAGAAGAATCGAACATACGATCTTTTGGTTAGAGATAAATGTCTTAAAAGTTAGGCTTCGGTGGACAACTTTTGTTTATTTTAATCCATCCGTACTTTCAAAACGTTTATTTTTTCCTATACTTTTAAAAAGGGATTATTTTTATCCCTTCATTATCATTTTATATCATTTATTTCAATCGTAATTTTATCATGACACTTCATTTGCTAAATTTTTTAAAATGTAGTCATAAATTTGTATTAAACAGCTTTTATTGGGGATAAAGTTTGTGTTAAAAATTTTGCAAATAATAACCAAATCGATCACTTATTAAATTCCTAAGAGTCAAAACGGAAATTTGGAGAATAAAATGATTAAAATAAACAAAAGTTTTCACATGGCATAAATGAACGTTATGAAAATAAAGTCCTAAAATAGTATTTAAACTTCATTTTTTTTTTTTGAATTATGTATATTGAATGAGTTTATTATTGCACCATCAAATCTCATATCTTCAATCCTCAAACTTTAGAGATGATTAGTGAAAAGTGCAACAATGAGCAATTTTGGAAAATGGAAAAGAAAAAGTATGGGCAAAGACTAAGAGTAATACTCTTTGGGGAGCATTAGCTTTTTAAATTTTTGACAAACTTATTTTGGTTTTTACCCTTATATATTCAAATTAATTATATTAGACCTCGCTAAAATTAATTTAATCACTCACATCATCATTTTATTATGATACAATGTAAGAGTTAAACGTAATTTCATTCAAAATTTTAAGAATATGATCGAAAGTTTTTAAAGTTTATAAATTAAATAAAAATAATCTTAAAATATTTTATTTAATTTTGAGATAAAAGATTCGAACTCAATAATCTTTTAATTCGAGATATATGTATTTAAAACAATCATGTTGGGATTCATTTTATGTGAGTAGTATTTAATTTTAGAGTGATTCCTATGAAAGTGTTGCAATAAATTACCAACCTTCATGTGAGTGTTAGGTGGGCTGCTTTTTTTTAGAGGTTTCCCACATTAATTACACAAGTGGACAAAATGGAAGATTTTCAACGCAAAATCAAGGGTAAAATACCCTTTTAGTCCATGTTCTATTTAGTCCTTAAGTTTCAAACATTGACAGTTTAGTCCCCAACCTTTAAAACATGGTTCTAAAACGTCCCTAAGTCAAACTTTTGTTAGTATATTTAACGAAGTTTGAAGCATTATGTGACATTTGCTAATATATTTACTATTTATGGTAAATGATGCGACATTTGTGGTTATCGAAAAAAGAAAAAAAGAAAAGAAACCAAATTAGTTTATTTAAGAAAAATGTGGGTTAACTTCCCCTCTCTACCACCTCTATGAAACTATCTCCCATGGCTATGGCTATTTCACTATATTGCTTTTGGGTTATGAATTCCTCTTCTAATTCTTAATTTCTAATTCTTGATTTCTAATTCTTGATTTTGCTTCTTCTACCAACTTCGATAAACTTTCCAGATGGGTTATCGTCCTCAACTTCTCTCCAGTTCACATTCCCCTTTAATACGAACAAAAAAATTTCGCAAACTGATATGAGGCGTAAACTCATTCAGCACTAAGATATTTGGGAAATAAGAACGGGAACAAAAAAATTATATGTTTATGTTTTGTTAATCGTAATATTGCTAAAGTTAAAAATAATCGTACCTCACTTACATCTCTATTTTTTTCCAAGTTAAAAAGAATAAACTCATCTAGATCTAAAACTTTTAGCACTAAGTCCAGGGCTTCGATGCCGGTCGATTACCCTCCATTCACGCATTTGCAGCTTCCCTTCTGATCGCCCTTTTATATCTGGAAGAAGTCCTCCCCACTCAGCTTCTCAGATCTGGAAGACAAAGATTTGGTTCAAGTTGATGGCGTGGTGCAGTTGATAGCGGCGGCTACCAAAGGAGGAAAGAAAAGGTAGAGAGAGGAGAGAACCGGAAAGAAAATGCCACATCAATCCTAAAAGAATATAAAACTCATATATTTTGCTACCTCATTTAAAAAGTCCATGTCAATAGAGTCCACTCACCAATTTAAACTGCCACGTCATTTTCCGTTAAATATACTAATGGAAGTTTGACTTCATGAACCTTTTAAAATCATTTTTCAAATGTCAGGAACCAAACTGTCCATTTTTTAAATTTAGGGACGAAATAGACACTTATCTTCAAACTTAGAGAACAAAAGTGTATTCTTACGCTAAAATAAATTATACACTATTTTTAAGGAAAGCTAAGAGCCTAAGACACAAATTTTGAATTTAAAACCGTGAATTGTGAAAGAGATATTTACTGAAAATTTTACATAAATTTAATATATATTTACTAAGATGTCATGACTTTTCAATTTTTTTAAAATATAGCATAAATGTGATGGAAGATTTTATATTATATTTGGAGTTACATTTAGATTATAAATTTTAGGCTATATGTGAAAACACCTATCTTTTATGTATTCCGTAAATACCTCGATTTTATTTTATTGTCAATTATTTTTATATTAAAAAAACTTAAATCTTAAAAAAAAAACATTCAATTTCCTTGATGTAATTTCAAATACTCAATTCATACAAATATTTATTCACTGAATAAATAAATACTTCACCAATTTCGAACTTGTTTAGTAACATTCTCATTTATAGAAAATAGTTGACTCCTCAACAATGAGAATAATTGTGTCCTCCTCGCCATCAAATATTTGACAACTCATTATTATTTAAGAAAAAGATTATTTTTATATTTCTCCTTCTTAGTTGTAAAACATTTAAATGGAACTTGAGGAGCAAGTATTTTTCCTCATTTATTATTTATCGTTTCCCATTTAAAATTTTTTGAAAAACAGATACCTCCGTCAATTATTCTTATGTCTTGTTTCTAATTTCAAAGACACATTTTTCAAATTACAAAATTTTTATAAACAACAAGAGTAAGTTTCCTCATATATGTGTTTCACAGGCTTTTTAGTTATACAATGCATAATAAATACAATATAGAACTTTTGAGTATTTAATTTGAAAATTTAATTTTCGTATAAAATTTGTCTTTTTAATTTATGTTTTCTTTTATTAAAAATTATGAAACGATAAAGAAGAAGAAAAATATGTTACAAATCACAAATGGAATGGGCCACAATGGTTTTTCTATTATTTTTTTTATAAACAAATCAATAGTGAATTTCCACCGACCTTTTTCAATCCAAATAAAAATTCGATTTTCCAAATGATTTTGAATTTTGTTTCGAAAAAGAATTGTTTTGATATTTGTTTTCTAGTAGAATAAAACTTAAAAGCTCTCAAAAGTCCATACGGAAGGGAGAAATTTCTCATCAAATCTACATCATCTCATCTTCAGACAGTCCGAAATCGATGGCGGCGGAGACGGCGGCGTTCGCGGCGGTCGTCTCTCTCCTGATCACGGCGGTTGCGTCTCAAGCTCCTCCGACGGCTTACACTAACCACACGGTGGGTGGCGCTGCAGGTTGGTTCTTCAACGCCACCAAGAACACTTCCGCTACCAATTACTCCTCTTGGACCGCCTCTCAAACTTTCAATCTCGGCGACTTCCTCAGTGAGTTCAATCTCTTCTTCCTCCTTTAGATTATTCTCATTCTTGATGGTTGATTGCTCTCTGAAATCTCCGCCTGATTGCCATTTGTTTCGTGAGAAAAAACAGAGAAAACTAGGCTATGGTTAGTTAGCTAGTTGAAGAAATTTCCTCGAGTGTTCTTGCTCAGAAATTTTTCAGCAAACGAATGTTCGATTAATTTGATCAACTAGATCAATAGATTTAACTTTCTGCCATCGTCTCTTCATACGTCAAATTCTGTGCTCAAATCTAGGTTTCTATTCCCCAATCTGAATTTGAAAATTGAAAACCCGATAACAGTTCTGTTCTCTCCGATCATCGATTCATCAATCAATTAACTAACAGCACTTCATTAATTGTCATTGTTTCGTTTACCTTGTTTTATTGCAGTTTTCAATACGAATTCGAATCAGACCGTGATCCAGACCTACAACCTAACGACATTCAAGAGCTGCTCCATCGACGATGCCGCCGATAACGACACGGTCCAGTACAACGGCGGCGATTCCGACTTCAACAAGCCATTGACCATCCCGGTGCCGCTGACGATCAAAGGCCCGAACTACTTCTTTTCCAACGCCGATGATGGCGTTCAATGCCAGCGAGGCATGGCCTTCGAGATCCAGGTCAATCCCGGCCTCGGCTTGCCGCCGAGTCTGAATCAGCCGCCACCGCCTCCGTACTCAACGCCGCCGGATTCCGATTCGGCTCAAACGCCTCCGTTGACGATTCCTCAGACGAAGGACAACGGCGGCTTCAAGAGCGTGGCTAACGTCCGGCGAGATTTCTTCTTCGTGGCGGTGCTGCCGCTGGTGCTGCTCTTCTAGAGGACGAACGAGGTCAGAATCCCTTCGAGTGGCATTTTTGTAATTTCGTGAGAGATATTGATTTTTGGACTTGTTTGGTCATAGGTCTAGGGTGGCCGCTGACCAGGACAAGTTCCTAATCCTAATCAGGTTTTGCTATTTCTATCTTTCCGCAGTTCCCATCATTCAATCAATATCATTAGTCAATAGAACTTAGAAGCCTTTTGATATATTATAAAAATATTAAATTTATTTTAATCAAATAACAACTTCTTAGATCTTCGTTAGCTGTGCTGTGCCAATATATTATTATTTATTTTTAGCCGTTCCAATATAAAAATTATTATTTTATCCTAAGGTGTCTGTACATTGGTAAGGAACTTAGATATTAATATTAATATTCATGAACAAAGTTCGTGTCTTGCCTGTCTCAAAATAAAATTGATTTTATTATTTCTTTGCAAAAAAAACCCAAATCTCAATAGAACCAGAAAAAGTAAATAATAATTTTAAAAAGAAAAATAACATAAAAGATGAATATTTGAAGGCAACCAAATTAAAATGAATCAAAGTTACAAAATCTTACTACATCAAACTAATTAAAAAAAAATCCACAACGTATTTTTTCCTTGTGAAAAATTATTATTTTAAAATCGAAATATTTTTTAAAAAGATCATCTTTTGGCACTCAATTTTGTTAAGTCAATTATTTCCTCCCCATTTTGTGTATTATTAATTTCTCTTTATAAAGTTGTTTCGAGGTATATGTTTTTTGTCCATTCCTTTATGCATAGTCTAGGAGCATAACTCAGCAGTAATTGAGCATAACTCAGCAGTAATTGACATGTATTCTGATCGGTGATTTAAATATCGGTCGACAAGTCGCTTAATATATGGACATGTCAACAGCCTCTACATTGATAGGAGGGGGGAAAGTCTTTTTTTATCTCTCTTAATGTTTACCTCCACTTTTTCTTATTCTCCATGTTTATCTCATATCCACGTTTCAATAATTCTCATCACCATCCAATTATTGCATAAAAAAAGATTGTAAAACGTAAATTACTTAGAAAGTTTGGCATAGGTAAAATACAAACGAGTAAAAATAAACGACTTAACACATATTCCTAGATTTCTCACCCTTTTTTCTCCTAAAAATAATAATGCATAAAAGGAAAGAAAACTTTGTTTTGATTACTTATTTGATCCATGGAAAAAAGAGAATGACAAAAGAAAATATGTCATGTTTAAGCAAAATCTAATGACAAAATCTCTTTTGCCATTTTTTAAATCACTTCTATTTTCATTGATCATGTTTGGCAAATTAAAAAATTGATTTTAGAAATATATAAAATTACTTAAATTAATTTTAATTTAAGGTGGTGGTTTTGAAAAATCAATTATTTTTAAATCTCTTTTTTTCAAAATCACTTATTCTACTCTCACTCTCAAAATACACCCTAAATTACTTACATATGGTAAATAGTCAAGTCTTCTCTAAAACGACAATTATTAACCTTGTATTGAAATAAAAACAAAAGTTGAAATCTAACTAAAATATTTTAAAAACGTTAGACGTTGACTAAAAAGAAAAACATACCAAAGGAATAAACAAAACTAAGTTTTGGCGAGAAAAAAGAGTGAGAAAGAGCTCTTTATAATAGTTGTAGAATAAAAAGAATTATAAAACTTTTAAAATTTTCTTATTAATTATAATTAAAAATAAGTTATAACTTTTGAAATGAGACAAAACTATACATATTCTACCTCTTTATTGACATTATAAAATAATAAAAAATTTTAAAATTTTTAAAATTTTCTTATTAATCCTAATTAAAAATAACTATAACTTTTTTTTAATTAATTTATATAAATAAAAGAAAACTTTACATATTCTATTTTAACTTTTGGAATTATTAAATAATAATAATACTTTTTTTAAGTTCACAATAACTAATTAATTCTTCACTTTCACTCAATAATTGACACCTTATTTTCATAATTTAATAATTTATGAATGAGGACAGGGAAAATTAATAGACAAAAAGTTGGGGAACATAGATGAGAGAGAGAGAATGGAGATGGGAGCGAGATTTGTATTTGGAGGACAAAATTTCAAGGAATTTAGATGGATGGAGAAAAAAGTTAATAAAAGAAAATTAATGAAAGAATTAAGACAAATAAAGATTTTTAGAGATAAAATTATTTGAGAAAATATTTGGAAAGATAATGAGAAAAATACACGAGATATGCCTAATAGGTAACGAGTCGGCAGTAACAATCAAGGATTGAAAGCGATTTGGTACCTATTCTCCATCTAAAGACTTTACCAAAAAATCCTTCAGATGCTTCTCACACAACTGAAGAATTTTTTCCTACTTCTGCTCTCATAAAATTTCCATGGTTGAAATAATTTCCTCTCGTAATCCTAGCTAACAAGCTATTTGGGTTTTTAATAATTCTCCAACATTGTTTAACCAGCATTGTCTTGAAACCCATGTCGAATTTTCCTCTTTCTATTGTATAGTGAAACAAAAGTTTAAATGTCGATGTTTTAATTTCATGGAAATATCGATAGATATTTATGTAAAAAGATAGAGAAATTAAAAAATCTTCTATTTCTAAATAAGTTAAAATGACTAATATTAATAAGTTAATATTGAAAACTTGTTATCAATCCAAGACTTACATAAGAACTCCCTCGACGTTGTTAAGCGCTTTCTTGACAAGCTTAAACTTTTTTGCATCAACTTTATTAGTTCTAATCATGTACTCTCTAATGAAGAATAGCATACCGCTTCGAAGAGGTTCAAGCTCGGGGTTAACAGCAACTCGAGTGAATACGTTCCATATCAGCTTGTCAGGACGTTTAAAAATTTCATCGAACAGCATGCGAAAATGCATGATTCTCTTTGGAGTAAGCAGCCTGACATCACTCAAATCCACAGATTTCAAAACCGCAAGGGACAGAGTAAAAGAAGTGATCATCTCGACGACGAATTTCGCAAGATTCATCGACCTAATAAGCTGCATTGTTTCCAGTTCTTTGAAGTGATCCCACAGGCAATACTGTGATGATGAAGTGAGAGATAGTCAAAAGGCGGTAATTTTGTAGACGCATCGGAATTCGACTAACCAAAAGAGTGTAGAGCAGAGAAAAAAAGGAAAGGGAATAAGTTTACCTGTAATGTAAACTTGTGGTTTTTATCATGTGCACACAATTTGGAAGCTAAAATTGTGTAGTACTTATTGAACACTTTCTCCTGTAAACAGCACTCCACAACAACTCTCATGATCTCCCTGTCCTGTAGACCATTATAGAAGATGGTGTCAGTAGAATGAAAGGACATTTTTTGAGTTAAATTACGATAACTTTTGAAAATGTTCAATAGGTCCCTAACTTATTTTTTAAATTCAGACGTGTTAAGACACAAAATTGAAAGATCGAAATCTTCAGAAAAATGTAAATAGAAAATTAAGGTACGAAGTGAGGAAAAATTCCACCAACCTGCATTCCTGGTAAATCCAATCTTAGTAGCTTCTCAAATGCATCAACATAGTCCTCTCCACTCATTATAATACAGAATATTGCCTTCCTGGCATCTGTATTCATTCTCTGTGCAGCTGCAAGCTGAAGCATTTTCTGAGCTTCAACAACCTCTTTATCAATTGTGCTAGCGAACTCCGTGACGTTTTTTGATGTCGTTGTCATATAACTCATATCCCCAGACAACCACCACTGCCCCTTCTTATCAGGATCAATCAGCTTGTTCCATTTAATTCCTCTAATTAATATATCTTCTACTCTTAACTGAAAACAAATAATTGAAGGATAAAAAGGAAAGGTCAGAGTGCAGTCATACTATTTTTTAAAAGATCAGTTCTAGTTATAAGGTGTCTTATGACTTGTTAAAGGACTCAAAATAGAGCAAACAACAATGAGTTGGCCTTGCAGTATCAGGCCATGTGACAAAAAGGTGAAAGGTACTTTGGTGAGAGAAAATGAGTTCAAACTCATACCGGCCACCTTAGAAATCTAGACACAATTGTACAACTTATAAAACAGATTGAACAGTTCAAGTAAGCTCGTAAGTTCATAGTGGCCACCTATTTGATTTTTTTCTTCTTTTTAGTATAACAAATTTGGGGGTGGGAATTTGAATCTCCGACTTCGAGGGAAGGACTAAATGACTTAACCATTGAGGTTAGCCCAGGTTGGCGGTCACCTACTTAAGATATTAAAATCTTATAATCTTATGAGTTTTATGACAACCAAATGTTGTAAAGAAACCGTCGTAAGAAAGAAAGAATTGTAAAGAAACCGTCGTAAGAAAGAAAGAAAAGATCTCAACTAGAGTATTTCTCTGCTTGTTGCATTATTAGACCAACAAATCTAATCCCACTTGACCCTAATAAATCGTCAAATCTGCTTTTGAAGTAAAAATATATATTTTTTTTTTTGAACAAGAAACGAACTTCTCATTAAGATAATGAAAAGGAACAAAATTGTTCAAAGATACAAGAGTGAGGGTACACTTTTGAAGTAAAAATGTTGACTCGATAAAATACAACTGTCTAGCAAGTAGAGCTCTACACTTCGAAATACAGTAACCACTAAAGATAGAACAAGCAAGACCTTTTGTAGCCATTTCTTTATCCGTGTATGGTGTGCAGGATCATCCTTATGTCTTTTCTTGTTATTCTTGATGTCACATATGGTCTCAAGCATGAACTCCATCTGCATTCATGGACATTATAATTTATAACATTAAAAATTTTGACTAAAATACATAGGTAAATGAAATATTACTTATCCATTAAAAAAAATAAAAAATAAAATCCGATTACGAGAGACTCACTCTCTTTCCATTGATATTTTGTGGACCATCTCCAGGGGCTGCCTTTAACTCATTAACCTTACTTTGAACACTAACAATAAAATTCTTCATTCCAGTGGGATCATCACCCCTTATTTTCATTCCACAACCTGTCAAATTCGAGATGGTTTAAGTTATATACTAATTTTCTGTTGCCAACAATTTTACAACGTTTAGTAGCTACTCATGAAGAACGATATTTTTGTTATACAAGAACTTGTGACGCTTAGAATCCTCTATCCATTACATGAATATCCATTCATAGCCAAATTCTAGATGAAACCCAACCCAAATTTTTCTGCATCGCACCAAGAAAACTACAAAATAATCATGATCTAATGCATCTTTTTGTTCACATATATATATATATATATATATATATATATATATACATGCATATACATATACATATACACTGAGAAGTCTCCATATTTTTTAATTTTCACAAGATCTGAAAGTGGACAACCACCAAACTCAACAACCTTTCCCAATGAGGAAACATGTGAAACTACTTAATATTATTGATTGCAAGTGGTAAAATGCAAGGGCAGGCCTTTCACCATAATGCACAACCCTTGAGGCGATCAATGTTCAAGGAATCACTAGAAATGGTACCACTGACAACAAAATCTTCAGAAAAAAAAAGATAATAAATTTAAAATATAACTAGGACCAAAACATTTTGAAAAGTACGCCAAAATCCAAATTTCAAGTGAAATAAGAGTAATAGATTAAAAATTCAAGGAGATGGTGCTCTAAAGGAATTATATATATCCAACTCGCAGTCAACTTACATTGTAAGACTGTCAGGATGGTGGAAACATCAATTTCTGTCAACCGCTTGCTCAGTATATTCAGAAAATCATAGATTAGATCACTGAAAATTGTCAAAAGATACAACAATTATTAGAAAGATGTGGTTATATTCATAGTATAATGAAATTGATGATCATACAAAATACAAGAACAAATAATAGCAGCCCCTGTAGAACTTATCAATCATATGCCAACTCTAGGCAGTTGAAAAACTACAATGTTCCAAACGGGAGGCAAATAAGAAGTCATTGGTCAATAGTATATAAATCTTCTCCTCAAATCAGGTAGAAGCTCTACATAATACGAGTGATACTTTTCCCGCCTGAACGGAATGGGGCTCCGCTCCATTTATTCTTTTTTTCTCTTTTATTATATATACTTTTTTATATTATTAAAAAATAAATATAAAACTAAACCTAAGTATGTATATGTGAAACTAAAGACACATTGTTGTGTGTTTACGTCTTTGTGAACTTTAAATTTTAATATTTATTGTTTTATGAATTATGAGACATTATTCGGAAATTTAAGAAATTTTCTTTTTTAAAATGCAGATTCCTCGTGAAGATTTAACCATTTAAATGGGGATCTCATGGGGAACAAATTATCCAAATATACACTCCATTAGAATTATCAGACATTTAAAAAAGAAACAGAGAAAATTAAAATCCATCAAACAAACAATAATTTGCACCTACCTGGCACAAACTCCAAATATGCATAAATAGGAAAGCAATAGTGTAAGATTTCGCAAGGAAAGGTTATCTTCTTTCAGGTGTTCATCCTGGAAAAAGGAAAAATCATATGATTTTCTTAATAATTCTCGAATTTTAGCAGAAATCTCTACCGCCATGTAAAACCAAATATTTCAATATATTCAGCATGCAAGCTCACCTCAAAGGTTTTAGCAAGGGAAGCCATGAGCCTTGCACTAAAGTCAGTACCAACCAAACAACCCATACCAGCAACAAATGAGGCAAAAACAGCAGCATACCTTTAACAAGAAACAAACATAGAAGAAATTTTGTCAAAAGTTAGGGCTTTGAAGGTCTTTCATAAGCGAGCTAGTGGTAAAAGAACCATGAGATTCCAAACTCCAAACATAGGTGTCCCTATTCGATGAGGGCCGATGGGAGGATAGATTGTGGAGAAGAGCTGCCAGCTCGGCTATCTCCGCATCCTTTAGGTTCCTCCAAAAATGCATGTCCCAAGAGTTGGTTTCCAAAGACCAGAAATCCTTAACAAGATCAAATTTTCTGGAGTGTAGTGTAAATAGAAGGGGATAGGTGCGGCATAAGGGCTCATTGTTGAGCCAAACATCTTTCCAAAGCAGAGGAAGGGTGCCATCGCCAAACGCATAGAATATTGCTTGGCTATGTGTCTCCAAGGACATCTGGCGACTACGAGGGAGCGGTTGTGTGGAAGGTTGCAGAGGTCAAGTATGGAATACTTGGCTTGAGCCAATCAAGAGACCAATCTTCGTTAAAGTATCTCCTATGTGTCTCCAAGGACCTCTGGCGACTACGAGGGAGCGATTGTGTGGAATGTTGCAGAGGTCGAGTATGGAATACTTGGCTTGTATCAATCTAGAGAGCAATCTTCGGTAAAGTATCTCCAAATCCATTTAGCTAGAAGGGCCGTATCTTCTTGCTTTGAAACTGATTAGGCCAAGACCACCCAGATCAGAAGGGCTGTATCAGCAATAGTAGTACGGATTCTCCTAGAATATCAAGAGTTTTGGACTTCTCACCTGACGATTTATGGTAATATCTCTTTTTCGGAAGACTTCCAAGTTTTGTTTGATGAATCTTCAGGAAAGAAAGATGCAACAGGTCCCAATGATCTCATGATTCCCAAGTTTTTTTAAGAATTAGGGACCTCTCTCCTATTATAAAGAATCAATGAAGATTATTACATTGAACGCCAGAGGCCTAGAAGATTATATGAAACGCATGGGTCTTTTTGAAGTTAAAAGGCCACTCAAATTAAAAGCAGCTGTGAAGATGTTGTTAGAAGTTGAAAGGCCTTTTCAAGACTTAGAGCTTATTCTAGCTAGTTCTATTTTTCCTTGAGATTTTCCAAGCATTGGTCGAGGCCTTTTAAAGTAAGCAGAGGTCTGAGGTCTTCTTGATGTTGAAAGGCCATTCTCATTTAGAAGCACCAGAAAAGGTTTGGAATCTCTATGGATCCACCATTGATTTTGTCTTCTAATGATTGAAAGGCTTTCTATTAATATTCAATTCCATAGATATCTTTTGAAGTCGAAAGGCCTTTCCAAGTCTTAAAGTTTTGTTCAAACTCTAGGTTGTTCTAATCCACAGTAGGTTGGTTTTTCGCTGTTTGGGACTGTTTTATTTGAAAACCAAGGAGACTCACACAATGTTGTGATGGTCTATGTAAGTTCGTGGTTATTTTTCCCTTGAAGACAGTTTGGATGCTTTGGTTTTGCAAGTGAGAGTCATTTTGAAATTTCGGTCGATTTTATCTCAATGTGAATTTTTATTCTTTTTGAAAGTAAAGTGGGCAAAATTTTTAATTTCACTTGGTTGGTTGTTACTTTGTTGAAGAATTTTTGCTTTAAGGCTTTTGAGAAGGCGAAAGGTTTTCAATTTACCTAAGGGGTGGATTCAGGTACATGAAGCTTACTTTTAAAGGTATTCAATTTCCCAAGTCTCGTTCTTGAGTTTTTTGGTCCCTCATGTCGTAGTTTTTTGGCTTTTGTTGTTCAAAAAAACTACCAAATGTCTAGACATTGTACCAACCAACATTCTAAACTACAATAAAGTTTTCAACTAGGGTCTATTAGAGGGCAAAGTTAGACAGGGGTGGTGAATGATGACAATTGATGAGATCTATGTCAAATTTTACAAAAATTCAATCGAAGAAGAATCTCACTATAACAGAAATAGGTAGAAGTGAAGTTTGATAAAAAAAAAAACAGACACTCAACTGTTCATTGCCTCGAGGACCACGTGAACAAGATGCCAAAACCTCCTCGCTAATAACTTGAGAAGCAATGCTGCGAGAGATGGACTGCAAATTGATAAAGCATAAACTAGATTCACTTACAAGCTAATACATAATGGGGAAAACTAGCCAAATCAAATCACAAGCTACAAGTGCCAGGTTGACATGTAACTCAACAGTTGAATTCATTTTCCACATAAACCTTTTACCAACTCAATTATCTCATGTTAAAAAACAAAAAGTTAGAAGAAGATATCATACACGAAATATTGTAGACATTTCCGCTATAATTGATTCCACATTTGATTCAGAGAGCCTGTTTAAAAGACCTGAGCAAATTCACAAAAACAGTGCAGACTAAACTTCAAATTAAAAGGAAATAAAAATGGAAAACATTGACCCCATAATAGCCCAACCTCCACACCTCGAACGCGCCTTCGGAGTTGAGTTTGATCTTCAGACTCATTCCCCTTCTGTAATCTCAGGTAAGGAGCAACATATTTTTGGTTTCCTTCCAAAGCTTTGACAGGAACTTTATCTACTGCAACCTCTATGGAATCATCACCAGCAATCCCACCAGTAACTATATCATCTGGGTGTTGTTCTAACATCTTTTTCTTCTTACGTTTCTTACTTTTGGACGCCTTTGAAGATTTTTCCACCTCAATATCAGCCTCGCTTGCTTCCACGGACGCAAAATCACCATCAGGGCCTTGATCTGACGACTTCCTTTTCTTCCCCACTTTACCCAGTGTTTGCTTCTTAGATGGCTCAACTGCAAACTCTTCAGAGAACCGCAGGTCTTCCTCGGGAGAATCAATCATTGAAGACATTCCTTCAAATAACACATTGATACCGTCGTCTTCACCTCGCAACTTCCCAGCCTTGACCTTCAGTTTCTTTGCGAGTTTCCGCTCCAATTCCAAGTCCTCCTCGGCAGACAATCCAGGGTTCCGCATGCTCGTCTCCATACCCAAATACTCTTCGAACTTTGTTTTCCCCTTGTGCTTGGTCCGAGACCGGAGCTTTGCATCCTCCTTCCCCATCCAAGCCTCCTTTCGCTTTCCCCTACAAATGAAAATCCAGTACAATATTTTGCTAAATCCAATGTTTTGTTGATTTCGAAATTTGAAAATTTAAACGAATTTCAACCGAAGAAGGAAGCTAGTGCTGCTCTGAACCGTGGCTACCGTCCGCCGAGATTTCTTCTTCGTGGCGGTGCTGCCGCCGGTGCTGCTCTTCTAGAGGACGAACCAGGTCAGAATCCCTTCGAGTGGCATTTTTGTAATTTCGTGGAGAGATTGATTTTTAAGGGCACTTAAAAAATTCAGTAAAATAAGCCAAATAGCCACCGCAACTAATTTTTTTAAATATAACATATTTTTAAGGAAAAACGGAGTTCTAATTATAAAATTAGAAATTCACCGTTTAACATATTTATAATATATCTAACCACTCATATATATTTTTTATATACAATTGATTTACTTCTGATACTAAACTTCTAACATGTCTTACCACTGATATATAATCATTGATTTACTACGTTGATAGAGAAAATTTCTAGTCCTTTCATACTACTTCAACTCAAATTCAAATTGTGTCATGCGTAAAGGAATAAAATATTTTTAGTTTTTATGTGGATCCACGTATAAAATTGATCCATTAGGATCCTAGCTTCTATCTTAAATTAATTGTACATTCTCTCTCATTAAATATTTTAGATGTGATTATTTATTTTTACTTTTCTAATTTATTTATCTCTTTATTCTTATTTACATCTTCACTTACTTATTTCATCTTCTATTTTTATTTTTTGAATTTTTCTCTATTCAAACTAAATTTCTTGTTTTTTTTTCTCAATGGTTTCTGCTTCACCATTTAAATTATGTATGACTTATTTATTTATTTATTTATTTTTCTTGTTCTTTATTATTATTTTTTCTATTACATTTTAATAATTTTTATATTTTTTTCATTTTTTTCTTGAATTCATAAAAATGTTTGGATGTATTCATCCCCACCCGAAAAGGTAAATCTCTAAGGATGTTATGTTCAATATTTTACATTTTTTTAATTCATCATTTTTGTGAATTTTGATTATTTGATTATAAATACACTTTCTTTTTTGTCTTTTGGTGCAAATATTGTTGAATTTTAGGTTAATTGATTTTTTTTTTCAAATCAATGGCTAGTTTAGAACCTATAATTCAACAAAATAAAATTTTCAAATACGTTCATGACATAAAAGAAAGTGTATTTATAATCAAATGAAAAAAATATATAAAAATGATTAGAATGGAATAGAAAAAATAATAATAAAGAACAAGAACAATAAAAAATAAATAGAAAAGTCATACATAATTTAAATGGGGAGGTGGAAATCGTTAAGAAAAATAAATAAGAAATTTAGTTTGAATGGAGAAATTTTCAAAAAAACAAAAATAGAAGATGAGAGAAGTTAGTGAAGATGTTACCTATACTATATTAAAATGGGAGGATGTCGGAGAAACATTTTTGGACGCTTTTGTCCATTTCTTAATTTATTAATTTACAAATTATGTTATTAATAATTTATTATAAATATTAAATTAATTATTGATTATTAATTATCAATAATAATATAATAATAAATATCCATGAT